CGCTCTGGATTGTGGGGCGCGGAGTCATTACCTCCGCCAAGGAGGTTATGTTTTTGCCGGCGTTTGTCTGTTTGTTTGTTTGTTTGTTTGTTTGTCTGTTAGCAACATAACTCAAAAAGTTATGGACCGATTTTGATGAAATTTTCAGGATTTGTTGGAAATGTGAAAAGGAAGAACTGATTTCATTTTGGGGGTGATTCGGAAGAAATCCTGGATTCTGGATCACTTTGAAATTTTAGTTAACATTGTGGTAAATGGGGCCAAAAATTTAGTTTCTCAATATCTCGGTTAATTATTGACCAAACCCCATGAAATTTGACTCAGGGATGGACAATGGGATCCTCTTTCATATTCCAAAGGCTGATCCGGATCTGATCCAGAAGACTGATTTTATCGCAATTTATATAAAAAATAGGGGTAGTCCTTGGCGGAGGTCTGCGCTCTCTGAGTGCTTTTCTAGTTTTTTGATGGGATTGGAGGCTTAAAATACGGTATGGTGCGAAAAATACGGTATATTATATTAGTAACAGAAATTGATTTACCAACAAAATAGAGAAATAAAAGTTCAGCAGTATGACATTAAGCAGCTTTACCTTACATTTCCTTAATCACAGGTGCATTTATAGCTCAAAATACCTGGAAAAACAGGCATTCTGACTGTGGCCTCTCCACAGATCTGACCTGTAACTTGGTCTGGTTTGGTCTCCATGAAGATAGAAAGGTTTAATGCCATACTGTGACACATTCCAGACAAAGCAATAACACAAATGCCTCCATGGACAAAAGCATTTGGACAGATTTTCCACCAGAAAAGTTACACAGTGCACCTTTAAGACCGGTTGTGCAGTTTTAGAGCTTTTTGAGTAGCTCTGACAGGTTTAGAAGGTCATGTCGTCTTTGGTGCATAGAGAAAAAAGAAAAAGAAAAAAAAAGAACATGGCTTTAGAATTGTTTTATGTCAAGAGAAGTCTGCACTGTAGCTATGTTTGTTTGTTTTGACATGAATGTGTGTTTCTCTGATTGGCTTTTCCACCTGTCACTCACAAGGTTAGCCTCGATCCAGACTGTAGACGGACAGATAATACTCCCTACAACTGTACAGCAACTCACCCACTGCACCAAACTGGAGGGACAGAGGAGCTCAATCTCCAACAGGCTCCTTCAGCTCTGCTCAAACACTGTAGGGAGTATTCATACTATAATACTCCCTACAACTCTACAACAACCCGCCCTTATGTAACAGATAATACTCCCTACAACTGTACAAGAACCCATCCTTATGTAACAGGCAATACTCCCTGCAACTGTGCAACAATTCACCCTTATGTAACAGATAATACTCCCTACAACTCTGCAACAACTCGCCCTTACGTAACAGATAATACTCCCTACAACTGTACAACAACATACCCTCATCTAATAGATAATAATCCTTACAATTGTGCAACAACTTGTCCTTAGGTAATATGATACTCCCTACAACTGTACAACAACTCACCCTTTTGTAACTGATAATACTCCCTACAACTGTACAACAACTCACCCTTATGTAACAGATAACACTCCCTACAACTGTGCAACTCACCCTTAAGTAATATAATACTCCCTACAACTGTACAACAACTGTTCTTTATGTAATAGATAATACTCCCTACAACTGTACATTAATATCCCTATTGAATAGATAACTTTTTTTTTTCTTTTTTTTTTTAAACTTGTACTCTTGCTATTTAAAATTTATTACCTTTTTTTTTTTTTTTTTTTGCTTTGTTATTATATTATATTGTGATGTGTGAGCTGCTGTGTCCAAATAATTTCGGTTGTGGATCAATAAAGTTTGTCTAAGTCTATCCCATAGTAGTAATAGTAGTAGTTGCGGTTCTCTGATTTGCGCAAAGTACGGCGAAGTAACGCCACGGTCAACAGTACAGTGCAGTACTCTCAAGGCTTCGCCGAGCAGTGTACTTAACGGTTGCGAAAGTGTTTGTGCGCTGATCCACAGTTTGAATGGAGCTCTCACATCAGCTCATGTCGGTGTGCACTGTTGTTGTCTCTGAAACACTTAACACGGCTGCTCTGAGTACTCTGCTTTGTAATGTGTGTTTGTATGTGTGCGTAAATGTGTGCATAAATGCGTTTGAGAGTGGTTCATTGACAAGTGCTTTGAGTGTTTATTTGAGGTAGATAGTACTCTGTAAATGTGACAATGTATTTACTGTTTATTAACGGACATATTGTACTTTTTGGGTGTATTTATTATTACTCTGAATAGCATCTGTAGTAGTAAAAGATGTCTAGGCGACCCTGCTCACAGTCAGAATGCCTGTACATGCATCCCAAATTTCAGACTTCCAGTCATCGCTCAATGCATACTGAGAAGGGTCCTCCGAAAAAGGACCAAAAAGGTAACTGTTGGCTGACTTATGCATACTGGGAAGGATCCTCTGAAAAAGTGAGCACAAAATTGCCATGTTTGTTTTCCCAAAGCCGATCTTTTCAAGTCTTTTGAACCATATCACTTTTGTTCCTGGTTCTGATATTGTCATATTTTAGTTATGGGATTCAGACATCGTAATTGTGTGGTTGTTGGATGTCCTAAGAGCAGTAAACGGCTCGAAAAAATGGCCTTTGGAAGTTTGCGAACTCCATAACTGCAAAAGGGAACTTTGGAATTGAAAAACAGTGAAAGGCGAAGGCAGTATTGATACACAGGAAGGACAAAAATGGAAACTTTTGGCTGCCTAAGAAATCATCCCGAGTTTGCAGCGAACATTTTGCACGTGGAGCGCCAAAAACAAAGCGGGATCGCGTTTGTTAAGCGAGAGGTGCAGACGAAGAAGAAAGACTGAGCTCGCACTTTCTTATTCGACTTTACAGCAACATCACGTCTTGGTCTCTTTGCGGTGGAAGGTGTTTCTTGGTGAACAGCTGGTGCTTTTCGCTTTGGCGTTGACTTTTTACATTTTTAACCAAGGTTGAGCGAGGGATCCTGATTTTGCTTTGATGGCGCTCATACAAAATGTTCGCTGCAAACTCGGGATGATTTCTTAGGCAGCCGAAAGTTTCCTTTTTGGTCCTTCCTGTGTATCAATACTGCCTTTGCCTTTCACTATTTTTCAAATCTGTTGGGAAGGGACAAAGGTTACGTTCAGACTGCAGGGCTTAATGCTCAGTTCCGATTTTTTTGTGAATCCGATGTTTTTGCGAGGTCGCATTTGAAAAAAATCTGATCTGTGTCGTTCAGACTGTCATTAAAAGATCAGAAACAGGTCACATAGGGGCCAAAAAATCTGATTTGGGTCACTTCAGGCTGCAGTCTGAACGCAGCCAAAGTTCCCTTTTGCAGTTATGGATTTCGCAAACTTCCAAAGGCCATTTTTTCGAGCCGTTTACTGCTCTTAGGACATCCAACAACCACACAATTACGATGTCTGAATCCCATAACTAAAATATGACAATATCAGAACCAGGAACAAAAGTGATATGGTTCAAAAGACTTGAAAAGATCGGCTTTGGGAAAACAAACATGGCAATTTCGTGCTCACTTTTTCAGAGGATCCTTCCCAGTATGCATAAGTCCACAATTCAGGACGCGTGTATTAGGGGTGGGCGATATATCGATATTTTAAATATATCGAGATAGTTTTTAAACTCGATATGAATTCTGACATATCGTATATATCGATATAATGCTTATATTCAGTTCTGATTTCGCCGCTTCGCTTGTTTGTCTTCTCTGTCGTCGCCTCCGCGCGTCCCCGCCTCCCAGATTTTGTTCGCTCGTGTCTCCTTCACTCCGTCACTGTCGCCATGAACGCCGAAAGTTGGTACCAGTGAAAAACTTCAAGCACCACGAACCTTTTCTACCATTTACGGACAAGAACATCAGCAGCACATCCTCATATTCCACCGAGTCGCGTCCTTTAGCCCGAAAGAAGCTAAACGAGCTGAGCTGCGTGAGAAGTGCTGTTTATGCAAATGAGACATGCGCTTATGTTTCGTTTCTGTAAAATGTAAACACACGTGCGCAAAACTGCATTAAACACATTATTATCGCAAACGGGCTGATGTGGCTCTAGACTCGTTATGCTTTATTTATTGTAAAGTTTAGCAATGTAAAGTTTATTTATGCAGAAGATTTTAATTAATAATCTGCTGCAGTGTCACTTGTACAATAGTGTTTGGAAACGTTTGATTTGATCTGCAGTGGATTGTGGGATTAAACCTCAGAGCTCCTCACTGCTGGATAAGAACATGGATCTATTGAAATAAGGAACATCCTGAGCTTCTTCTGCTAAATGAGCTCATGGTTCTGGTTCTGGTCTGGATAACAGAGTTAATGCAAAGATGAACTTGTGTTGAGTTGTTTTATTTATGAATGAAAAGAAGGAAATGTGTATTATTTCTTTTATTTTACAGTTAAATTATTATTTATGTAATTAGGGTTTTTTGTAATCTTAAATGTTCCTATATGAACTGTCGACCTCTTACACTTCAGTAAAAAAAAAAAAAGACCTTGTGGAATTTGGCAGATTTGTTTTTGCAGTTTTCAGTTTTAGGGGGTTATTTTTTCTTGAACATATATCGAGATATATATCGTATATCGAGATATAGCAAAATATATCCAGATATATTTTTTGATCCATATCGCCCAGCCCTAGCGTGTATTGAAGAAACGTAAGGTAGAGCTGTTTAATGTCACACTGTGGAACATTCCAGGCAGAGAAATGACATGTATAGCTGCGTATTTTATGCGTGGTTCTGAATTTGAGCACTGACACCCATGCCTCTTCTCCCCTCAGGTGTTCCAGGGACATAGGTGAGACTTTGACCATGCAAGTCCACTGGCCGTCCGAGCGGAGGATGCAGCCCACGTCCCGCACTGCCCGCTACTGAACCGCCGTCCCTCTCTCTCTCTCTCTTCCTCTTTTCCTCCTCCCTTCTTTCTCTCCTCCTCTTCTTCTCCTCCTTTCTCTCTCTTCTCTTCCCTCTCTCCTCTGATGGCTCTATGGGGGGTACTCAGTCTCAGCCTCCACTGCTGGGTCTGCCTTGGCTCCGTGGACTCTCTCAGCACAAGCAGCGGCACCGGCGGAAGCAGTAGTAGTAGTGGTGGCAGTAGTAGTAGTGGTGGTAGTATTTCTGGAAGTAGTAGTAGTAGTGGTGGTGGTGATGGACCGCCTCTGGACCAACCCGGGGGCCCCTTGGATTGGCTCCTGTCGGATAAGGGCCCCTTCCATCACTCCCCGGAGTATATCGACTTTGTGGATAAGAACCGGCAAGGATTCTCCACCAGATACAAGATTTACCGGTGAGTGGAACCAGATTTTTCTCTTGTTTCCGAGCAAGTATCTGGAAAGGCGTTAAAATATAAAATTTGGTGATACAGTATTGTTATCGTGGGCTGCTGTATTGATATATTGGCATTTTCTTGTGACCGCACTACGATTTTTGTGGCTTATTTCGTGGATGGAAACTTACACACTTGACATATTTGCTGTTTTGATGATTAAAATAGATGTATTTCATATTTATTTTGTACTAGTGGTGGTTTAACAAAGATATATTGTTGTTGAAAGGTTGTTTGGTTCTTAACAAAAGGCAGTATATCAGAGTATCATGTGTAATATATCGATCATTGCATCTATTGCCATATCGATCTTGGTGTTATGTGTTACATGTTACAGAAATATATTGATACGTAGATGAGCTCTGAATAAAGATGTGAATGATCGGCATTTACGGTAACTGTTAAAGATGAATAGTGGTCATTTATTTACTTGGTTTATATTCTAGAATGTCATGCAAAAATGGTATTAGGCTTACCTACTAGAAATGGGCTTGATTGGTCGACTATTTGATAATTGATCATTAAGAATTTTGTTGATCATGTTCATTTGTAATCGACAAACCAGATGTAGGGCCCATCCCGACACTCTGTCCTGGTTTAGTTCTGGTTTAATCCCGCTTTAGTTCTAGTTCAGTCCTGGTTTAGTCCTTCTGGTTCAGTCCTGGCTTAGACCTGGTGTAGTCCTAATGTAGTCCTGGTTTAGTCCTGGCTTAGTCCTGGTTCAGTCCTGAGATCAGTCCTGGTTTAGTCCTGTTTTAGTCCTCCAGGTTCAGTTCTGGGATCAGTCCTGGTGTAGTCCTGTTTTAGTCTTAGTTCAGTCCTCATTTAGTCCTGAGATCAGTCCTGGTTTAGTCCTATTTTAGTCCTCGTTCAGTCCTGGTTTAGTCCTCCAGGTTCAGTCCTGGGATCAGTCCTGTTTTAGTCCCGAGATCAGTCCTGGTTTAGTCCTGTTTTAGTCCTGGTTCAGTCCTGGTTAGTCCTATTTTAGTCCTAGTTCAGTCCTGGTTTGGTCCTCCAAGTTCAGTCCTGAGATCAGTCCTAGTTTAGTCCTGTTTTAGTCCTAGTTCAGTCCTGGTTTAGTCCTGTTTTAGTCCTAGTTCAGTCCTGGTTTAGTCCTAGTTCAGTCCTGGTTCAGTCCTAGTTCAGTCCTGGTTTAGTCCTGTTTTAGTCCTAGTTCAGTCCTGGTTTAGTCCTGTTTTAGTCCTAGTTCAGTCCTGGTTTAGTCCTGTTTTAGTCCTAGTTCAGTCCTGGTTCAGTCCTAGTTCAGTCCTGGTTTAGTTGTAAAGTTTCAGTCCTGGGATCAGTCCTCCTGGTTCAGTCCTGAGATCAGTCTTGGTTTAGTCCTGTTTTAGTCCTAGTTCAGTCCTGTTTTAATCCTGTTTTAATACTAGTTCAGTCCCGGTTTAGTCCTGTTTTAGTTCTAGTTCAGTCCTGGTTTAGTCCTGGTTTAGTCCTCCTGGTTCAGTCCTGGGATCAGTCCTGGTTTAGTCCACACGTGCCGCGTCTCCTCAGTGGATCTTTGGCGTCCCCAAGGAGAGTCGGGCCTCACCTGTTGAAAACTTTTCATTTTTACTCTTCTTAAAGTACTTAAAGAAGGAATTAATGCAAAACTGGAGCTCGCTGTCATGTTTTTCTTTTCTATCAGCGTTGTTCCCTCATCAGAATTGACAAAACGTGTGGGTGTGGGTCAGTTCAGAGGAAAAACGCCGCGGTCGAATTTTGTTTCCAGTCCGATCCTAAAAATAAAACTATAAAGGTAAAACTATAGAACACCACTGACATGCTCTCATTCGTTTTTTTTTTTTTTTTTTTTTTTTCTTTCATGTTCCTGTATATGTTCAGGTGTGCGCCTCGTAGAACATAAGAGCCGCGCTGAACGGCCTGTCCTTGTGCGCGAGAGTGGACGTTTCATCATTCAGAGTCTATAGAGAGCGTCTCCATGGCGATAGCTTTAAAGTCAACAACATTTTACATCGGGCCCTTCAAATAAAACGCTGCCATCTCTCCAAATGACTGACACATCATTTTAAACGGCGCGCAGATATGTACGAGGGAGAAGAAAAACAGTTCGGAGGGTGTGGGGCAGGATGGAAGTAGCAGTAGCAGCAGCAGTAGTAGTAGTAGTAGTAGTAGTAGTTGCATATTAGTATTTCAAGTAGTAGTAGTATGAGTAGTTGTACAGTAATATTAGTATTTGAAGAAGTCGTAGTTGTAGCAGTAGTAGTTGTAGAGTAGTATTAGTATCTGAAGGCGTCATAGTAGTAGGAGTAGTAGTAGTTGTAAAGTAGTGTTAGTATTTGAAGGAGTAGTAGTTGTAAAGTAGTGTTAGTATTTGAAGGAGTAGTAGTAGTTGTAAAGTAGTGTTAGTATTTGAAGGAGTAGTAGTAGTAGTTGTAAAGTAGTGTTAGTATTTGAAGGAGTAGTAGTAGTTGTAAAGTAGTTAGTTAGTATTTGAGTAGGAGTAGTAGTAGTTGTAAAGTAGTGTTAGTATTTGAAGGGAGTAGTAGTAGTTGTAAAGTAGTGTTAGTATTTGAAGGAGTAGTAGTAGTTGTAAAAGTATTGTTAGTATTTGAAGGAGTAGTAGTAGTAGTTGTAAAGTAGTGTTAGTATTTGAAGGAGTAGTAGTAGTAGTTGTAAAGTAGTGTTAGTATTTGAAGGAGTAGTAGTAGTTGTAAAGTAGTGTTAGTATTTGAAGGAGCAGTAGTAGTTGTAAAGTAGTGTTAGTATTTGAAGGAGTAGTAGTAGTTGTAAAGTAGTGTTAGTATTTGAAGGAGTAGTAGTAGTTGTAAAGTAGTGTTAGTATTTGAAGGAGTAGTAGTAGTTGTAAAGTAGTGTTAGTATTTGAAGGAGTAGTAGTAGTTGTAAAGTAGTGTTAGTATTTGAAGGGAGTAGTAGTAGTTGTAAGTAGTGTTAGTATTTGAAGGAGTAGTAGTAGTTGTAAAGTAGTGTTAGTATTTGAAGGAGTAGTAGTAGTTGTAAAGTAGTGTTAGTATTTGAAGGAGTAGTAGTAGTAGTAGTAGTTGTAGAGTAGTATTAGTATCTGAAGGCGTCATAGTAGTAGGAGTAGTAGTAGTAGTTGTAAAGTAGTGTTAGTATTTGAAGGAGTAGTAGGAGTAGTAGTAGTTGTAAAGTAGTGTTAGTATTTGAAGGAGTAGTACTAGTTGTAAAGTAGTGTTAGTATTTGAAGGAGTAGTAGTAGTAGTAGTAGTTGTAGAGTAGTATTAGTATCTGAAGGCGTCATAGTAGTAGGAGTAGTAGTAGTAGTTGTAAAGTAGTGTTAGTATTTGAAGGAGTAGTAGTAGTTGTAAAGTAGTGTTAGTATTTGAAGGAGTAGTTAGTAGTTGTAAAGTAGTGTTAGTATTTGAAGGAGTAGTAGTAGTTGTAAAGTAGTGTTAGTATTTGAAGGAGTAGTAGTAGTTGTAAAGTAGTGTTAGTATTTGAAGGAGTAGTAGTAGTTGTAAAGTAGTGTTAGTATTTGAAGGAGTAGTAGTAGTTGTAAAGTAGTGTTAGTATTTGAAGGAGTAGTAGTAGTTGTAAAGTAGTGTTAGTATTTGAAGGAGTAGTAGTAGTAGTAGTAGTTGTAGAATAGTATTAGTATCTGAAGGCGTCATAGTAGTAGGAGTAGTAGTAGTTGTAAAGTAATGTTAGTATTTGAAGGAGTAGTAGTAGTAGTTGTTGTTGTAGAGTAGTATTAATGTTTGAATAAATCTTAGTAGTAGTAGGATTAGGATTAGCAGGTGAAGTAGTAGTAGTAGTAGTAAAGTAGTATTAGTATTTGATGAAGTTGCAGTTGTAGGAGTAGGAGTAGTAGTAGTAGTAGTAGTAGTAGATGTAGAATAGTATTAGTATTTGAAGAAGTCGTAGTTGTAGCAGTAGTAGTTGTAGAGTAGTATTAGTATCTGAAGGCGTCATAGTAGTAGGAGTAGTAGTAGTTGTAAAGTAGTGTTAGTATTTGAAGGAGTAGTAGTAGTAGTTGTAAAGTAGTGTTAGTATTTGAAGGAGTAGTAGTAGTTGTAAAGTAGTGTTAGTATTTGAAGGAGTAGTAGTAGTTGTAAAGTAGTGTTAGTATTTGAAGGAGTAGTAGTAGTTGTAAAGTAGTGTTAGTATTTGAAGGAGTAGTACTAGTTGTAAAGTACTGTTAGTATTTGAAGGAGTAGTAGTAGTAGTAGTAGTTGTAGAGTAGTATTAGTATCTGAAGGCGTCATAGTAGTAGGAGTAGTAGTAGTTGTAAAGTAGTGTTAGTATTTGAAGGAGTAGTAGTAGTAGTTGTAAAGTAGTGTTAGTATTTGAAGGAGTAGTAGTAGTAGTTGTAAAGTAGTGTTAGTATTTGAAGGAGTAGTAGTAGTTGTAAAGTAGTGTTAGTATTTGAAGGAGTAGTAGTAGTTGTAAAGTAGTGTTAGTATTTGAAGGAGTAGTAGTAGTTGTAAAGTAGTGTTAGTATTTGAAGGAGTAGTAGTAGTAGTTGTAAAGTAGTGTTAGTATTTGAAGGAGTAGTAGTAGTTGTAAAGTAGTGTTAGTATTTGAAGGAGTAGTAGTAGTAGTTGTAAAGTAGTGTTAGTATTTGAAGGAGTAGTAGTAGTTGTAAAGTAGTGTTAGTATTTGAAGGAGTAGTACTAGTTGTAGTAGTAAGTAGTGTTAGTATTTGAAGGAGTAGTAGTAGTTGTAAAGTAGTGTTAGTATTTGAAGGAGTAGTAGTAGTTGTAAAGTAGTGTTAGTATTTGAAGGAGTAGTATAGTTGTAAAGTAGTGTTAGTATTTGAAAGGAGTAGTAGTAGTTGTAAAGTAGTGTTAGTATTTGAAGGAGTAGTAGTAGTTGTAAAGTAGTGTTAGTATTTGAAGGAGTATAGTAGTAGTTGTAGTAGTAGTGTAGTAGTGTTAGTATTGAAGGAGTAGTAGTAGTTGTAAAGTAGTGTAGTATTTGAAGGAGTAGTAGTAGTTGTAAAGTAGTGTTAGTATTTGAAG